ATGTACCAGGCCCACCATTTGATCCTCAGCTGACACATACTGCCCAGTGTATCCTGGGAGAAAAATCAACTCTGACTGAGAGCCATTGGACAACCACAGAATCCAACCCATAGCCTCCAGGATTTGATGATAGCATTGTTAAAACTCAACAGGGGCCTTCTCACCCAGGTTTTGAGCCACAGCTCTGTCATTTACCAGCTTCATGGCCTAGCTTTGATCTCTGGTTTCCTCATCATTAAATCAGGAATAAGTAATAAAATCTCACCCAGAAGGAGTTTAACAAACATCCTTGGTAAAAAGGAAGTACATAAGCCCTTCTGACAGAAGGTCTGCATCTATACACTGCCCAGCCACTTGGTAAAGTGTGCCAACTTGCCAAGTCATTTCTCCTGTGATAATGCCCTGTAGGTGAAAATCAGGCCAGGTGTTTTAGCCCAACCCTTTGAAAACCACACCACTATAGAAATATAGATGAAACACACCAACCAGACAGTTCACAGATCTTCAGTAAAGAATGCAGGGGCATCAGGGTAAGGAAGATGGGAAAAATATGTAAGATCCCAGGGCCTGCTTCCCTGATGAGTGGAGGACCAGTAAGTACTGGATACATCTGGTCTCCAGGAATTTTCTGTGGTCCCACGTAGCGCCACAGTGGTTGTTTACTTTAATTTAAATGCCATCGGATGTTCTTGGAAACCACACTGTGGGCTTTTCCTGAAAACTGCAGGCCCCACTGGGCCTCCATTCCCACACAGCCTCTTTCTGGGACACAGTGCAGGTCCTCTGCAGGTCTTGTCTGGACCAAATCACTCATTTCTTTTACTAGCCTAGCCCTCCAGGCACTTGGGTTTGTAACCTTAGTGTGTCAAGAGACATCTCTTAGGGAAAGCACTCAGCCCTTCAGGGGAAACCAGGCTAGACTCTCCAGGGAGAGAGTTTAGGCCGGCCTAGTTAGATCCCTCTGATTCCTCTTCTCTTTCATACCTGGTTCTCCTAACTTCAAGCTCCTCATCCTAGCCATCCACCTTCCTCTTTTCAGGACAGTACCTCCCTCAAAACACTATCTGGGTCTGCTGGATTATTCACATTCAAGGATTTTAAAGGGCAAAATATCTTTCTCTGTAGCCCAGCTGCAAAAGGTGAGTCAGGGCGCTTCTTGCTAGGCTGATGATCAGCAAGCACTCTCCCTTCTCATATAGACTTCTCTTCTCTTGTCCACATGGTCTGGGTGGGGCTGACTGTGTTCAGTTCCTGGGGAAAGCAGGCATGTGACCCAGAAACATTCAGAGTCAAGCCTGGTACTTTGGCCACAGTCACAAAGTATTCTTTTCCTCTGGGACTTTATGAAGGACAATGGTTGCTGGGGGAGGGGCGGGGGAGAGGTCCTGAGCACACGGGCCTGGTGGAGTCACTCACACATAAAGCCACTTGGCTTTATGTTTGCACGGAACACTTCTCTCTTGGCTCAGGCACCCTGACTTGGGTTCTCTTACCAACAACACACACACACACCTCATCATTGTGAGAAATATGTAAGAGTTATGTGTGAAGGTAGAGAAAAACAAAAGGCTCTACTCCCATTTTCTCCTCAGAAGCTTGCTTCCATTCTTCATTCCAATACCTGGGAGGTTTTCCTGAGCAATCATCAGCCTTCTATAAACACTTATCTCAGAGATATAATTATTTTGCACTTGCCTATCTCTTCCACGTATCTGTGGAGCAGCTTGAGGGCAGAAACCATGTCTATTTACCTTTGATTGTTTAATACCTCGTACGTTGCAGCACAGTTCTAAGTTCTGGTATCCACTAAAGGACAGACTCAGCAGGTAGACACCCAAGCTACCAGGCCCCCTCACATGCCTTCCATGTTTCAGAGTAGACTCAGCCACCCACGGTAAACAGATTGCATCATGGGAACTCATTCCTTCCAGACTTTACTCATTCCCCACACATCAGTCCCATGGAAACCCACCAGGGGGGTTACTCACAAGGTCTCCATCTTGCAGGAGTAACTCTCTCACATACATATACAAGACATCCGCACACATACCTTTCTTCTCCATTCATGTCTCAGGAAGGGAAAACCTTCTGTGCTTCCAAGCTTTCACCTTGACCCAACACACCCACAATGCACTCTGGTGCCCACCAAACCACCTGCTTCTATGCACTAACAACCCTAGACTCTCTCCTGCCTCGAGTATTCCTTTGCCATAATTTGAGAAGGAAAAATACAGAAAGGTGAGGAACTGGTAGATTGTGCCTGTAATCCTAGTTACTTAGGAGGCTGAGATCTGAGGATTGTAGTTTGAAGCCAGCTCAGGCAGTAAAGTCTGTAAGAATCTTATCTCCAACTAATTATAAAAACAAAACAAAACAAAGTGTGTGGTTCAAGTGCTGGAGCTCCAGCCTTGAGCAAAAAAGTTAAGGGATAGCACCCAGGCCCTGAGTTCAAGCCCCAGGACTGGCACACACATGTACACGTATGAGCATACACACACATACACAATCCACAAAGAGCTAAGAAATCAACAGCAAGAGAGCAGCAGGTTCCCCAGTAAAAACAGATGTTCTAACTTTGGGTGCCTAACAGCCACACCCTGAATAATTCTGTAATAGCTGCTGCTTCCACTGGCATCTAGCAATAAAGATTTTTCAGAGTCAAAGGTCAGGCCCAGAATTAAAGTCCCAGTATGAATCACCAGCTACTCTATCCAGTTCACATTTTCCCATACTCAGCCCCACAGCAACGAGCAACACAGTAAGAACTAGAATCTTGAAATCAGGTGATCAATTACCTACCATGTGACAGGAGCCAGTGCAGATCATGAGAATCAAAGGAGGTGTAAGTGGGGCTGTAGCACTAGCTTTGAGCAGAAACAAATGCAAAAACATGAGAGACAGTGCCCAGGCCCTGTGATCAAGCTCTAGATCCGCCCCCCCCCACCCCCTCCACCCCCGCTAAAAAAGGAAAAAGTACCAGAACTCACAGGTGCTATAGACTAGTGAGGAACACAGGAAACATCAAGAGGCAATGTCACTGCAAAAATAAGCAGGTGGCAAATGGAACTATGGCTCTGCCCAAGAGGGACATCCATTCTGTGCTGGAACATCGAGGATCTTCTAAAGCCACAGAGACCATCCCCAAGGAGGCCTGAAGACAGAGGTGTTTGTAGGTTAGACATCGTGAAAGAGAGTGTCAAGATTTCCAGGGAGAGGATACTGAGTAAGAAATCCTGGCCTACCCTAGAAACTGAAAGTGGATGATGTCAAAGTAGGAAGGGAGGCTAAGGAAAAGCAAGTCAAGGAGACCCTAAAGGACTTTCAAGACAGAAAACTCTCTAAACCTCTTAAAAGCAAAGTTCCATGCTTGACCCAAGGTAACAATGTAACTACAAACAATATAATGGGCAATGTAACAAACAATGCAACCCAACAATGTGACAAGGTTACAAACTCTAAAGGATGGAAAGATTACAAAAATCCAGGTGAAAGGATAATCCTGGCTATGCTTGTGGTTTGAAACAGTTATGCCCCTCCAAATTATAATTCACTGTCTTCTTACCGCTACATTTTATTTAACTTTCCTGTAAATAACCAGGAAAGTGGGCATGTGTCAAGATAACCTGGTAAGGAATTTTAAACACTGAATGACAATTCTAAGCAAAAGAAAAAAAAGAAAAAAAGTAGCAGGAAACGAAACTGTCAAAAGCAAATTTAGAAAACTCAAGAGGAAGTAAAAGTATTTTCACAGATACACAAAAAAGAAGTGTCTCACGTGCTTCAGCCAAACCAAACTCCCCTTAACTGTTACAGGGGAAAAAAAAAAAAAAAAAAGAAGTGAGAACTCTGGACTAGCTCTTGAAATTCTCCTATCTTTGCAGAACACACCACAGCAAATCGGTAAACTAGAGCTAGCTGCATTGCCAGGCCTTAAAAACACTTGCTCGGGATGAGAACACAGCAAATGAAAATGGCCTAAAAAGAGAGAGAGGAGAGAGAGAGAGAGAAAGAAAGAAAAGAAAGGAAGGAAGGAAGGAAGAAAGAAAGTGCACCAATCATTCCCAGGGAATTGCCATCCTGAGTCTTCCATTTAAACATCGATTTTCCCTGTCAGGCATTGAAGCAGTACCAAAGAAACACGAGGAAGCATTTCGTTTCCACAGCTAGGTGAGGCAGACTCTGTGTGTGTGTGTGTGTAGACTGTGTCTGTGTGTGCGTGTGTATGCGTGTGTGTGCGTGCATGTATGTGTGTGTAGACTGTGTCTGTGTGTGTGCGCGTGTGTGCGTGTATGTGTGTGTAGACTCTGTGTCTGTGTGTGTGTGTGCGCGTGTGTGCATGTGCGTGTGTGTGTGCATACCATCTCCACATCCTCTCCTTTCCCATCCCCGCTTTCTGAATGTCAAGATCTCCAAGTGGCCCATTTCCGAGCTTCCTGAAGACTGGCTACCAGCTACCAGCTCTCCATTCCCGCTCCAGGGCGTGCTCAATTTCACCAAGCCAGTCCCACCGGCTTTAACCCTCCGGTGACTTCTAGGAAAAGGGGGTCACCCGGGAAGGGCGGGGAATGACGCTTCCCTCCACCCCACACCCCCCCACCCCCGCCCCGCAAGCCCCGCGCTCCGCTCCGCGCCCAGGGCAGTCAGAGCGAAGCCGGGCCGGCGGGGGACCCGCGCGCGGGGCAGCGGAGGACGCGGGTGGGCGCGGGTCTCCCCCCCTCCGCGTCCTCCCCCCTCCGCGTCCTCCCCCCTCCCCTTCCTCCCCCCTCTCCCCGGGTGATGCTCCCTGGGGTCGGGGAGGGGGGGGGCGGGGAGACCCGGCGGAGGCGCGGCCCGCGCGGCGCGGTGGGGACCCGGCGGCCCCAGACGCTCGGGCGCGGCGAGGCGCGGCCCCCGGCCCCCGCTGGCCTAGGCCGGGCCCCGACCCTCCCCAGCCCGCCCCCCCCCCGCCCGGGGCCCCCCGCGCGCCCCGCGCCCCCCGCGGGTCGGCCCGGCGCACTCGCCTGCCCACGGTCTGGTTGGCCAGCTGCTTCATACGGTTGAACTGTTTCTTCATGGCGGCGGCGGTGGCTGCGGCCCCGGGGCTGGGGCCGGGCAGGGCAGGGGACGGCCTGGGAGCTCTACATCGCTTCCCGGCCCGAGCGGCGGCGGCGGCGGCGGCAGAGGTAAGGGGGGGTCCGGGTGGAGGGGAGGGGGATGGCCCGGCCCCGCCCTCGTAGCGTCACTTCCAGCGGCGCCGCCCGCCCGCCCTCGGGGGGCGGAGCCGAGAGGGGTGGGAGGAGCCTTGGCCAGTGGGCAGGCTGTGGGGGCGGAGCTAGGAGGGGCGTGTCTTGGCAGAACTGAGCGGATTGGGCGGGTCCTCGAGGGGCGGGGCCGAACCGGTGCGGGCCGAGAGGAGCCGAGAGGGCCCGAGTGAGGCCGGGTGGGCCGCGGCCGAGCCGGGTGCAACCGAATGACAGCCTTGGGGCTGAGCCGTGCCGGACGGAGCCGGTTAGCGCCGGGCCTGGCCGAGCCAAACCGGGGTCGGGCTCCTCTTCAGGCCCCGGCTGCGCTTCGGACCCCGACTCCGGGCTGCTCCTCCGGCCCCCGGCACTGCGCGGTCTCGGTCCCAGACTCAGCCCAGCCGCCCTGGGGTTGACGTCGGTGCGGGGAAACCCCCGCAGACATCACGGACTGGGACCATGCCCACGCTTCGCGGTAGATCGTAAAGTCACCACCCGGACGAGATTCCTGGCCCACGGGGAGAGGAGCCCCCGGGGCGTCCGGGAAGGGACGCAGCTCGCCGTGTGGGTGTCAGAACCGGGATGGCCGGCCTGGCCGGGCACTGGGGGGGGGGGGGGCGTGGAAATCCTCGGCCTCTTCCTGAGAGAGGCGTTGGGTGGGGTGGGTGCGTTGCACCGGGCCACACTGGCGGGGCCACGTGGTGGCTCACACTTGTCATCCTAGCTTCTCAGGAGGCTGAGAGCTGAGGATTGAGGTTCGAAGCCAGCCTTGGCAGGAAAGCCCTTGAGACTCATTTAATCTACAGTTAGCTAGCAAAAAGCCAGAAGTAGAGCTGTGGCTCAAGGGGTAGAGCACTAGCCTTGAACAACAACAACAAAAAAAGCAGAGGCACAGTGCTCAGGCTCTAAGTTCAAGCACAACAACGAACAGGGACTGCGGGGCCCAGCTGGCTCATACCTGTAATCCTGATTATTCAGGAAGCGAAGATCTGAGGATCCAGGTTCAAATCTAGCCTGGCACAGTTTATTTGAAAGTGAGAGTAAGGCACCAGACAAGGTGAGGGTGGCCGCTTGGCTACTAGCAACTTGTTGTAATCCCTAAACTACGACTTCCAGAGGGAAGGGCCACCTGGTACCCTATGAAATCCTGTCTACCTGCTTGGTGGAGTCGGGGGAGGGGGGGGAAGAGGAGGAGGAAAGCACAGACCGACTTAAACAGGTGAGAAGGAGGCCTAGAAATTGGTAGCCCATTGCAGTGCTCATTTTATATATATATATATATATATATATATATATATATATATATATATATTTTTTTTTTTTTTTTTGCCCGTCCTGAGGCCTCTGGGCCTGGGTGTTGTCCCTGAGCTTCTTTGTGCTCAAGGCTGTGCTACCACTTGAGCCACAGCACCATTTCTGCCTTTTTCTGAATAGCTTATCGGAGATAAAGAGTCTCACAAACGTTATTGCCTAGGCTGGCTTTGAATGGCAATCCTCAGATCTCAGCCACCTGAGTGGCTAGGAATACAGGCGTGAGCCACCAGCACCTGGGTCTCCCTTTTATATTCCCTTGGGTGAGTTTTCCCTGATCTGGTGTCTGCTTGGGTCACTGAGCACCTCACCCCAAGGGGATGGCTGCCTTTGCAGGCCAGCTCCAGGGTGGTCAGGGGCTTTGTCTCCATGAGGACTATTGTCTCTCCCTATCTGCCTAATCTTTCCCCTTCTGCCTCTTCCTTCATCCTGTGGTGCTGGACGATTTTCTCCTGGAGAACCAGGTTAGTTCTGACCTGCAGCTCTGGTTGGTCCCTGGTTTTGGGACCTTACCTGAGATCTAGGGCCACTCTCAGGAGGGAGTATGAGGCTTCACAGGCTACACTTGTCATTTGCCTAAGATGCAGATGAAGCTGAAAAGGGAGAACTCTGGGAGAAGAAACACAGAAGGCACTCCAGCAACTTTGAGGTCAAAGAATAAGAGACTTTAAAATCCTGGCAGCTGGAATGGTGGCTCAGGTCTTGTGGTCAGCTACTCCACAGGCAGAGAAGTAGGAAGATGATGGAAGAGACTGGGGCAAAAGCAAGTCCTCTACCAAATGGGCCATTAGCAAATGGATTTAGAGGGTTGCAAACAGGGTGGGTGAGAGTCTCTATGTCAAAAAGAGCCTGGAGTGTGGCCTATGGTTTACACTCTAATGATTATGGTCCAGGTACTAGAAGCCCACAGAGAACTTAGGTTTTCGTACTGGGTCATCCTAGGGTTCCTTGAAGCACAAATGGAAGTCACTAAAGCCTCTTTAAGAGTCTCTGACCACAGAACCAGAGTGCCTGTTAGGATTTATTTATCTATTTAGTGTCAGCAATGAGGCTTGAACTCAGCCCAGGCACTGTCTCTAAGCTTTTTCTCTCAAGGCTGGTACCCTACCACTTGATTCACAGTTCCACTTCTGGCTTTTTGGTGGTTAATTGGAGATAAGAGTTTCATAGACTTTCCTGCCTGGGTTGGCTTCAAACAGCAATACTCAGTCTCCTGAGTAGCTAGGATTACAGGTGAAAGCCACCAGAGTTAGCTTTGCAGATTTAAATTGGGACCAATATGAGAACCTTTATTTATTTCTTCTTTGGTCGGTCGTGGGGCTTGAACTCTGGGCCTGGGCGCTGTCCCTGAGTTCTTCAGCTCAAGGCTAGTGCTCTACTACTTGAGCCACAGCCCCACTTCTGGTTTTTTGGTGGTTTATTGGAGGTAAGAGTCTCATGGACTTTCCTGCATGGGCTGGCTTTGAACTGTAATCATCAGATCTCAGCCTCGGAGTAGCTAGGATTATAGGCATGAGCTACAGGTGCCCAGCTATGAGAACCTTTTGTTGGAGGGGTTGCTCTTAATGGTAGGCTGATATGCAAGATACAGCATAAATAACTATTGAAGTAAAATTTCTAAGTCCTCCCAGGACCCCAAAGGACATAAAGGTGCTGGATATATATGTCCTTCATAAAAGTGTTCCTGTACCTCCAAAACATGCTCAGAGGAAGATGTCATAAGATCAGCATCATCACTGTACTGCTAGAGATGGGTTCAAGCAGTTAGGATTCTGCCTGCAAAGACCGTGTGCAGTGGCAGAGGTATTTAGTGTTTAGGTATGTGGGGGCAGCAAAGTTAGGCTGTACTGTGTTTCTATGCAGGGAAAGGCCAAGTATGTCTGAGAGAACATTGAATCCAGCAGAACATGTTAACCATAGTTAGACTATGGGGTTGCCAGCCTCCCTGTGCATGACAGGATGAGGCCTACTGCCCATTATTTTTTATTATTTATTTATTTTTGCCAGTCCTAGGTCTTGAACTAGGTACTGTCCTTGGGCTTCTTTTGCTCAAAGCTAGCCTGCTACCACTGGAGCCACAGCGCCCCTTCTGGCCTTTTCTGTGTATGTGGTACTGAGGAATGGAACCCAGGGCTTCATGCATGCTAGGCAAGCACTCTACCACTAAGCCACATTCCCAGCCCTATATTGCCCATTATTAACTATGAGACATGTCCACTCCCAAGCCAGGCACTCTGCCTGTTCCATGCTTTGCACAGGATCACCCCAGGAAAGGTGTATTGCAGCTCCCTCCTTCAGGCAAAACGCTTCAACCTCAGCAGTTCCCACTGTTTCTTCTGACTTGGGACCAATGTGTATTTGAGCCTCTCTCCACTGGATACTGAATGAGCAGATCATACCTGAATACAAGTCAAGTGAATATCCTGAGTCTGTGTGTGTGTGTGTGTGTGTGTGTGTGTGTGTGTGTGTGTGTTGCAGTATGAGGGTTTGATCTCAGGGCCTTTCTTTTGCTCCACTTCCTTGCTCGCCAGGTACTCTACTACTTGAGCCATACCCCCAACCCAGCTTTTTGCTGGTTATTTTCAAGATGTGAGTGCATGGATTTTTCTGCTTATAGTGGATTTTAATTGCTTTCCTTCAAATTTCAGCCTCCTTCATAGCTAGGATAATATTTTGCATGTGTATAATAATGAAATAAACAGATGTGAACAAACTCCCATTTGAAAAATTGCAAGCTGTGTCTGTAAATTCCTTCCTTAGTCCCTTTCCCTGCTCACCTGTGTCCCACTTCCCCCATTCTCTGGAGGTCACTGATATCCTGGTTCTGGGGTTTCTTTCCACTTCATTTCTTTCCCATGACAGTATTTTCCCACTCAGGTATGTGTCCTAGACATTAGTTTTGCTTGGTTTTGAAGCAGGATAGACAAGGAGATAGAAAACATAGTAACTTTTTACAAATATCAAAAGGAAAAAGTCATCCAGATAAATTGTATTAACTTAAGCAAATATCAGAAGTTACAACAAGGAAGAAAACGGAAAAGGCAGGTAAGTTCTTCTCCCACAATGCTTCTTTTTAATACTAAGCTAGTATCCAGGACTTGAGAAGGGCTATTTAAATCCCCCTCCTTCTTTGTAAAAATCTGGTGACTCTTATTGGATAGTCAAAGACAGAAGGAATGAATGACACGGAAAGAAGTCCTGAACGTTACCTGCATTTTGGGTGGACCTCAACCATCTCACCCACTCAAAGCCATTGTCTAAGGATTAGTTGCCGGACCTCATGACCACGTGTATCTCCCCCGCAGCTCAGAGTAAAGGCAGTAGATAACATCGCCATCTTCAGTCTTCAATTCCCATTTCCTGCGTGAGGTACAGGCAGTGTTCCCCTCTTTTTCTAATCCACGGTGATTTAACCCTACTATTCTAAAATAAAGCCTTGCCAGAACCTTTCACTTTGTGAGACTTTTCCTTTTTTGTGAGATACCCTGAAATGCTTTTCCTAAGTGGATTTCAAAGGCCTCAGATGTTGCACGGAAACTGGGAAGCTGAGCCTATACTCTTCCCCGTCCATCCTACTGTAGCGTAATCATTTTTGCTTTATAAATACGTTTCTTTCTTTCACTGAGCATTT